GTGTGATGAGACGTTCTGGGCAATATCATTGACAAATATGGCAAATATCAGAGGCGCGAGATTACTTCCTTGAGGGGCTCCGCTGGTGGCATTATAATCATAGGATTGGAACCCATTGTATTCGACAAATTGTGACCTACCACTGAGATAGGAGATAAATAGATTAATAAGGTTGTTGTGAAACCCAATTTGTAGCATTTTATGAGCAATAAGCCCATGGTCCAACTTATCGAACGCCTTCGAGAAGTCCGTGTAGATTACATCAAGTTGTTTTCTTTCATTTACAGCCTGATATGCCTTTGTTAGGAAAGAAGTTAGGTTAGTGACAGTTGAGCGTTTGCTATAAAATCCATGCTGAATAGTGGTAATTAAGTTTTTAACTTGGTGGAAGAGATTGTCATATACACAGACCTCAAAGGCCTTCGAAAAGTTGGACAAAATCGAGATTGGTCTGTAATTAGAGATATTGTTAATATCCCCGCCCTTAAATACTGGACATATTTTAGTTTTTTTCCAGTGATCGGGGAAAGTGTGTGTCTTGATTGTTAAATTAAATATGTGGTGCAGTGGAGATGTAAAACATGGGGCACAGTCCCGCAGTATGAAAGATGGTACTTTGTCATGCCCAGAAGTATGTGTGTTTTTCAATTTTTTCAGGGAATCAAAGATTTCCGATTCAGTAATATGGGTGACATTAATGTTCTGAGAGTTGCCAACATCATTCAGGCTATCCAAGCTAAAATCTGAAGATGCTTCATAGACACTTTTAAAGAACTCTGCAAAGCCATTAACTATACTCTGTGGACAATCTAGGGAGGATTGACCAGAAATCAGTTTACTTGGGATACGTGTTTTATTGCGTTTTTGACGAATGTATTTCCAGAAGTGCTTTGGATTCACCTTGATTGAAGATTCAGTGTCCCTTATATATGGCTTTGTATGCGACATCAATTTTTATTTTTGTCATACGTCTCATGTTTGAATATGCTTGATAGTCCAAGTTTGAGCCACTTTTTTTATATTTTTTGTGAAGCCTAGTCTTCTCATTAAGATTGTTTATTATTTCTTTGGTGTACCAGTTGGGGTACACAACCCTACTTGATTTTTTATTATACAATGGGACACATTGGTCAAAAATGGTGTAAAGAGTATCATAGAAATGAGTGACGGCTTGGTTAACATTAGATTCATTGATTAAAGAGTCCCAATTTGTGACAGTAAGTAGATGGTACATCAGGTTGAAATCGGCCTTATTAAAGTTATAGTTTCTACTTGTGTTAGAGGTTGGAAAGTCACTGAAACCCGCATCTGGGTTTAGCTGCATGTCAAATGAAACATTAAGGGTGGGGTGTGCAGAATCCTCCAGGACAAGGGGAAGATGTTCTCTAGTTACCTCACATTCAAAGTTAGCAATAACAAGATCCAATATGTTACCCGATCTGTTTGAGAAAGTGTTAAATTGTGTTAGGCCCCCCAGCGCTAAAAAATCATTTATATGAGTTTCCTTAACATTTGTGTTGGGATTGAAATCACCGATAAAAGCGACTTTGTTATTTTGAATAGGTTCATATGTGGAGAAAAAATCAAATAGGGTCTGGTGTGAGTTGGAGGGTGAGTTGGGTGGAATATAAATACCAAAAATAAATAGGGTAGAGTTATCTAAATATAGCTTACAGCCTACAATATCAACAACAGGTACCAGATTTTCCAGTTCATCCAGGTTAAGTTTTGACGAGGTGAGGTCGTGCCTAACACCAAGAAGCACCCCTCCACCTCTTGAGACATCCATGAGATCAAGCCTGCGGTCAGCCCTATAGACAGCATAGTTGTCGTTGAACAATTCATTATCAAATACACCATCCTGGATCCAAGTTTCCGATACTGCCACAACATGGCTTTCACAGAGAGAAACCGATTTATAAAATACAGTGGTTTTAGTGTTAAGGCCCCTAACATTTTGGTATGTTATTTGAATATTCCTGCTAGACAACCCTATCAGTTTAAATTTACAGCTTGATTAGTGGCGATAATTGTGGGCGATCCATTTTTGTAACCTATCCTTAGGTTCGTCTCACCAGCTCTGACACGTTCATCCATTTGTTGTTTGAGCTTCCGATACTCTTGGAGTTGCTGAGTAGTCTTGTCTTCCCTAATTGACAGGTGTTTGAGATTGTTATGTGTTCTGAGCTTATTTGAGTTGCGTAGGATATCGTTTGCTAAGTTACTTGAGCTGCATATCACCTTTATTGGCCTATTCTTGCCAGGAATCACTCTCCCCAAGCGAAATACTTGAAGATCATCTCCAGCTGCCCGTCCGAGGCAGTGGTCAGTCACACTACTAGCTACTTCATTGATGTTGGTAGTCAACTCTGGGCAATTGAAGATTATGAAGTTGGATCGACGGCTTTCTCTCTCTTTAAGTTCATAGAACAGACTCTCAATTGCAATTTGTAGTGGTTCGGGTTCAGACACACCCGGCGCGTCATCACCATCCCGAGGAGTAGGTGCCTCATGAAGTGCAGACAGTTCAGATTCCAGTGACTTGATTCTAAGCTCAAGGAGACTAACATTGGACTTAAGAATAACGTTTTTGTCTTCCATCTCTTTGTTGAGCAGTTTGAGATAAGTGTTTTCTACTTCGGTTGCTTTATTGACGATGCTAGCAGAAGGGCAATGACCTATAGTCGGAGTTGGCGGGTCCTGACTATCGATGCTAGAGAGCAGAGGAGTAGGAGTGAGTTTGTCCGCTAGATTTTTATCCTTGCATTCAGGACACCAAAATAAGCAGATACGAGTTTGGAGCAAGATGGCTCGTATCTCAGTTGCAGTTTTTACTCCACTACAGGTTTTGCATATTGGCCTGTTGCAGGAATCGCATGGAAAACCGAAAATGGTACATCTATCTTCCTTGGAGATGCAGCTTGTGTTGCATAAATAGCAAATTTGGCTCATAATTAGGTTTGATGGATCTATCCTCGAATAAGTATAATATACTTTCGGTCCCTGTGGTATGTGGAATTTCCCCGATATTATTTCGAGAAAAACCTGGTTTCAAGGAAATTCTGAAGAGAACGGACAACAGTTATCGAAAAGTGAGCAAGAATGATAAAGACGAAAAATTTGTTCTCTCGGGGAGTTCTACTCCCTGGCCCGAGGATCGGCCACCTGGTGAGTTGTAGGGCTGGAAGCTGTTTATAGCCCTTATTTTCAGCCTGTTTGAAGATCTTATTTTCAGTGAATATCCTTCCGGCTAGGCCTTTAGTGCCGTTGGTCAGTCGCGGAACGCCTTTTACCACCACATCCCTTTTCCCATTAGGTTTCCACTCGATAGACTCTGAGAGTGTGTTTGCAGACGCAGTTTTACACCATCTAGTCTATTTTCGGTATAGCTACCATCAGATCTCTAAATGAGACCGATATTGTTTGAGTGATCTTTTGCTCAGATTGTCTGGAGGCGCATTATCTGAGGGACGTCGATCATCTCCTCGCAGAATATCCTCCAGGATTCTCGTTTAGATCTTCTCAATTCTTTGTTGTATTCTGTTGGGGCTTTTTTGTATTCACTCCAATCATTAGTGCGTTTAGCCCTATTTAATAATTTTCTTGTCGCAGTCCTTAAGGAGCTGAGTGTCTTGTTCCATCTTGTTCTACACTTGTTCGTTTCCAAGGTATGGGTAGAGTTTTACGTTCTGCAAAGAATGATCATTTATAGTTATATTTGGGGCTTGGGGATTAGTATCCGGCGCGGGTTGCTGCAGAATCTGCGTTTTGTTGACCTCTAGGCCGATTCTCCTGAATGCCTGGTTAAACGCGTTGATGATTGCCTGAAGATCTTCCTCTGTATTGGTTATTACGACGTTATCATCCGCATATTGATGTTTAATTATTGATGTCGTCGATACTTTAGTCTTATCAGGTGCAAGTTACAAGAAGAAATTGGAGAGGCATTCATAGGCCGATATTTTTTATAAAACTTGCAAACAGGTGAAATATAAAATACAAAAAGTTACCTATATTATTGAAACATTGAGTCTTTTTAATTTTCATTCTTCAACTGGAAAATTTAGGTATTAGAACCCAGTACCAGAAAGTATTTTGTATATAGATACAGTTAGGTACCCACTTGATAAATAAACTTTTAAGAACAATACATAAGAAACATGGAATTGGTATTGGAAAACATATTCAACACTACATATTATGTATTCCGAATGATTCAAAACAGGAAACTGTGTTAGGTACCATTTTCTGATAATCCAACCAATCAATCAAAATCATTCAGATTCGATTAGATAAAGAAAAGGTACATCTCAGCGACTCTAGCTAGAGCAAACGGAGTTTAGCGATAAGATAGGCAAAATAAAATCTCATAGGTCGGTGGGCAGAATGCCCGAGACCATTCACCCCGAGTTCCATGGCCGAGACGGCGCTCAGCTGTTTGTTTCGCCCAGCTTGATGTAACTATGTAGTTAAAGGTGGTATATAGCAAAGATGCCACATTAATTTTTCCCTAACAACTTTTCCAACTAGAAAAAAAGAAAGCTTCACCTACTTTCTATAATCGGTAACAAATTATTAGCTATTGAACCTGAATTTTCTTCAAGAAAACTGCAGTTGAGCTCTTGCCAGATGACACATTATTTAGCTGGTTAGTTGAATTTTTCCAGTATTATATTGTCAAAGATAAATTAGTTTAGTTGGCAACATTGTGAAAGGTAAAAGAACGGCCTATGATCCATCTATTTTTGCTCGAATCTAGGATCGCGTCCAGATTTTTTCTATAATTAAGTAGTTCTCTTTTGGAGCGATAATAATGACTTAACATTCCGACTTAATTATATTGTTATTCTCAGATGAGTATTTTTTTTTGAGACAGACTGTTTGACACGATGACAAGAATCGTCTAGCATGTGTTCTAGACTGTGACCCTACTTCTAGCTTGTATTTATAATAGCTTCACCTACTGTGTGATAAAAAAATATTACAAAGGCAGGCGAGTGTACAAGTAAATCAGATTATATTCTAAACAGTAAATACAAAAAATAGGTAATACATGATACTAAAAAAATATAAATAAATTCAAATTTATGCAAAGAACATTAGTAAATACAGGCAAATTTGGGTATAACCAACTTAGATATAAAAATAGAATAAATTATATCCTAAAACTAGGAGCTGTGGCCTTCCATGCACTGCAGCCTGTTGGCTTAATGTGCACCCCAATTTCGTTGTTGCCTTACAAGAGTCCTGTTCCTTGTATGAGGCCTTATAGCCCTTGGACAAGATTTTCAGGCAGTAGTCTATCCCCTCTGTGTATTGCTCGCAATGAGGGTCCTTAGTTTCAATAATTTTTCTTATTCCAATATAGCTTCTTGATTTAACTAAAAACAACAGCAAATACCAAGACATCACATGCTTGAAGCTGTTGAAATATTTTCCTGGGTTCCCCCTTAACGTTTCACTATGTCCAAGTTTGCCTATATTACAATTATTATACAAATAAATAGTTTCTACTTTACAATTTTATTATTAACTAACAATCTTCTCAGTTTTATCTTTAACCAAGTTCATGCTCTCCTCAAAATATTGATTAGGATGATTGATGGTATTACTAGAGGGCTGAGGATGTGTATATTGAAAATATTTGGTGCAAGCTATTTGATAATGTCCGTTATTCACCAACTGCATTATCTCACTGACACCTGAAATTAAGAAAAAAAAAATTAAAAAATTCAGAAGTCTTATATACCTTCTTCGACACAATGCCATCATATTCTAACAACATTCATTGCTTATTTGGTATGAAATAGAATTAAAAACAATAATCACAATTACCTTCAGAAGGTGCTCCACATTCACTAATCTTAGCTCTTAAACGACCAACATCGAAATGCCTAAACGGACAACAGTGAGCATCTCCAGCTCCAACATTGGACATGATAATTTTCATGCAGCTGTAAGGTGAATAGTTGACCCTCTTTCCCACTTTGCCAAACTGATGGTTGAAATTGTACAAATGGTTTTTATTGAATGCGTCAGTATCCATGGTTTTTGTGAATTCCGAACGCCAAAATTCGATAAACTGTTCGTACTTCAAACCGATGGCTTTTAAAAACAGGCCATAGATCAACCTGCCGTAGTGTTTTAGGTGGTGATTAGCTCTCAAGGTTTCGTGTAAATTTCTCATGCAAAGTGGGTAATGTTTTTTGGAGTATTCGTCTATGTCTGCAGGATTTATTGCATCCTAAAATTAATTTCAATTACCTACCTGAAATTCAATTTTGGTGAAAAAAAATATGTTACCTTATCATTACTAACAGTATATTCATTTCCAGTATAGGCTTGATGTAGATTGCATAATAAGTTACTTAATCTTTCATCATCAAGATTGGGTAAATTACGATTCATCAAAACAAGTTTTGAACTTAGGGTAGTTCTAAATGTTGATTGTATACTGACTACCAAATCATTTATTGGAATGTATGCGTACCTTGAAAGTATTTTAACAGTAATACTTTATTTAATATAATTCTAAATGCTTACCCTTCTTTTAAAAAAACCCTCCGTTTTTGGACAAGAGTCCAAACATCCAGGAATGGGACTTTATAGAATTCGGACATCATGACCTGAACATCATTCATGCCTGGAGTACATACTATGAGTGATTCTTTCAAGTCTTCTTTCTCTTCATTTGAAATGGTTTGGTAATTGAGTTCGTTGAGTTGTAAAAATTTGAGGATAGCTAAAAAGTGATATAACCAATAATAATAGTATATTGTTGTATTAGGAGTAGAAGCTTTACTTTTTTGTGCTGAAGCAGTAGGTTTGCGAGCCGAACGTAGTGAGGCTTGCTATACTGCTGAAGCACAAAAAAGTGCTTCTACTCCGTATGCAACACGCTATTTTTTCTCCAAACAAATGGGGTAAGCTCGGGGGTAACTGAATGGTTAAGCGGCAGTAAAAGTACGAGCGGCACTAAAAGTACTTTTATTTGTCACTCATTTGTAAAACGTCACTTATCAAGTCAAAACATAACCAGCGAAAATTGATTTTTACAAGCTACTGGCTCTACTGACTTGTAAAATTGACAGCTAAACTGTAAAAACTTTTTACAAGTCAGTAGAATTATTTATTTCTGAAAAATCGGTTTTATCACAAGAATAATTGCTTGTAGGTACCTTCTGGGAGACTTTTCTGGTGATAAACTGTTGGCTACGACTGAGGCTTCATTAATAATATCTTGTAATAAATTCATTTCTGGAAAAAAATTGCAAAATGGAAATCTGTCAAAAAACCTATTTATAACTAGAAACAACGTCTTAACAACGTATCATTCTCATAGTTATACCAACTACCAAAACTTCTGTGAGAAAAAATCAAGGAAAAACATATAAATTTCAAATTTTTGTTATGTATTGATTTTTTATTTGTCCCTATATCTTTTACAAATGTGTAACAAATAAATTATTGTACATTATACGCCAGGTAGCAGTTTTTACCTGGCTAATAATGTAAAATACTATTGCTGTCGCTCCAGCGGCACTAAAAGTACTTTTGCTGCCGCTGGGGTTGCCAAGCAGCATAGAAATAGAATTTCTACCACCTCGACAGGTGTTAACCTGCTGGATTTGCCTACCAGCATAGAAATTAAATTTCTGACATCTTGACAGAAGTTAAAAAAGTGGCGTTTTTTTGACGTTTGGAGAAAAACTATTTTATATTTATAGGAATTGCCATAACAAAAATGCTAACATGTACAAGTTTTGAGAAAATAACTTATTTGAAACTGAAGCTGATGAAAACTGTACAAGAAAAAGGAGTAGAACTCGCCAAAGACATGTATTTGAAAAGCTTATTGAAAGACTGTTGAAAGTATGATTAATTCGAGGGTTAATTTTTATCATCAGGCGCTAGAAAATCGCTAACTTTTCGGCAAGAAGAGATACAATTTAATAAACATGCAAGCTAGTTAAAAAATAAATTTGTAACCATCAAGCAAAGCTGAATGTTACGATTTTTCGTCCATTTTTGAAAGAAATTTAATTTATCTGCTTTTTTGATTATTTCATTAACAGGCTTCTCCTACTTCAAGTTATTTAAAATAGTAACACCTGAATGTATGCAAAAGCAGATGATTTGGAACCTTATCAAAGGCTTTCTCAAAATCCAGGTATATAACGTCTGTTGGATGCGAGGTATCGTGATTTGTTGTCCAGTGGTCAAGGCAAGTTAGCGGATTAATTGCAGTGGATTGTTTTGGAATAAAGCCAAGTTACGTTGGTGTTAGTACAATGTTGTCAATAAAAAATGCAGTCAGATTTTCAACAATAATTTTCTCCATACATTTACAGGGAATACACGTAAGGCTGATGGCAGTTAGTTTGCTGCTAAGTTCCTGCCTCCCTTCTTGAATAGAGGTGTCACAACTTTATGTTTCCAATCTTCTAGCGTTACTCCATTCTGAATAATATTCTGATATGTTGACACAAGTAAGTAAATTGCCAACCTGGGCAGTGTAGTGGTTAGTGTATCTGCTTCGCAAGCTGCAGGTCCCGGGTTCAAATCCCGGCTAGGGCATGGTTGTTTGTGGTGTTTAACTGGCTCGTTGGCTTGGTGAGAGGATGTAGAAGGACTTTCTCAGGCTTGCGTGAAGTAGATGGAGTCTAAATGGCCGATCATGGATTGCAAATTAGACCATCTTAGGGTGGGGGATGCATGATAAGGCCGACCATTTAGACTCTTGTATGAATGGGAAGGAGTAGAGCCCATGCAAATGATGTACAATAAGTCACAATGAGCTTCAAGGCATGGGCTCGAAAGGGTGACAAAAAAAAATGCCGACTTCTGAAGAAATATTGTTAGAATATTATCAGGGCCCAAACTTCATATTATTTAATCCGGCGAATGCTTTTTCTTCTGTAGTACATAGTCTACATGCTTTTGATAATTCTTCTTTGAGGTGCCTGATGTAGGAGGGCGGTACTCGGGGCGGTACTAATCATATATTTAAGGAAATTATTATGAGTGGTATATACAGGGTGATTTATGTAGCCTGTGCATTAGGTTGAAGTTGGATTAGATGCTATCTCTATTAATCGACCTGCAAACTGGAAAACTTCTAATGTAAGGGCTACATAAATCAGGGTGTATACAGTAAATAATTTGGCTTTGTTGTGGCCCAATTTTAATATGAGTTTTAGCAGTTAGGATGATACGATAATTACGATATGATCACTTTGGGAAATAGGCATATGTTTATATGACATAAAGAGACTTCTTAATATTGGTTAAAAGTAAATCTAATGACTCCTGACTGTTTCTGTATCTAGTTGGGTACCATTTGATGTGCATTTATTTCTTTGTACATGTCTAGAAAGCCTTCAGTGTTTTTGTCAGGTACATTAATTGAAATATCAGGCCAATTTATGAGATGAAAGTTGAAGTTTCTAAATATGAATGTAGGGTTCTTAGTCTGGTCTTAACTGTATCAATTAATCATTTGTTCATTGTAAATTTCAGTGGTATATTCAAGTCCGAGTTCAGGTCTATAAATACAAGCAATGGTCATCTTAATTATGCGTATTTTAATATCTAACCAAACTGTTGGTTCTGTCTTTGATTTCTCTGACAACTTCCCATTTATTTTAAGGTAATGGAAATCTGGGAAAGTTTTACTACTCAGTAGGTACTTTGAATCCAAACAATTTAAAGAAGAATCTGTGAAGGATTGGGTTGGAAATATACAGAGTTTGACAGATAAAAAATCAAAAAATCAGGAACAAGGGGGTTTTAACTTACAAAATTACACTAAAAATAAACATAATCCAAGTGAATTTTTCAGTAATTGGAAGAGCAATTAAAGATTAACTTTTATACTGATGGATGATGATTATACAAACCTTGCCTACATGTCAAGAATGGCCCTACTTTGCCCTATAACAAAATAGCTTGAAATAGGTTCGAATAGAAATATCAGTGATAAGCATTTCCTTTAGTAAAATTATCCAGCCGATTAAAAGCCAGTAAGATTTGAATATTGGACTATTACCAGCTCTCAAGTGCCTCTAGGAGGGTTATCCAAATATCAGAGTTCAGTACTTAGTTCAAATTATCCATCTTAAACACCAAAAATGATTTTGCAACAATATAATAAATATAGCTACCTAATTAGACCAAGTTTGCACCAAATGGAGGTGAAAGAAAAATACCTTTAATATTCAACACTCTACAATTCACTCAGTCAGAACCTTTTCCAACAGCTTTTCCCAAATCACAGACTAGAAAATGAACAAAGAAGATTAGAAGAGCTAGGTGATCAGAAGTTCTAGACTTGGACAAGATAACTGCCTTGAGAATGATAAATTGTCAGTGTTAGGAATATTATTAAGATACAAATCCTATTTCGAGCCATCTTCTGATCCTCTACTGGAAAATATAAAGCTTGTTCGGCTTGTATATCTTTGTTGACATTCAAATATAAATGAGTAAGAAAAGACGGCGCCTATTAAGGCCAAATTTTAACACAATTCGATAGATGAATATATATTAGTCTTACATGGAGTGCTATTGGAGACAAACTTAATCTTAAACCATTCCAACTCTCTAGCCAAAAACCATTTCCTCAATTCCTCGCTGCGACAATAAGCTATTCTCAAAATAAAGTGTGAAATATGGTCGGCCCTTCTGGCTTGAATATCTAGCTCAGTTTGGCCATTGAATCCGCTCAAAAGCCGGACAAACTTTTTCAGGTTGTTTTTCATCATATCGTCTTTGATGCACTTTTTCCATTCGTCTGAGAAGTATTTGTGACCTTTCAACGATGCCTGTTCGATAATTCTAAATAATTGTACTCGATCTATTGCTAGTTCTTCGAATTCGGAAAGTGGTATTTCCGAGCAAGGGAATTTGGGGTACAAACTCAAGTCGTGGTTGTAAAGGGTCGCCTCTGTGTCTTCGACAGTTGTGTGGACCCTTCGACGTCTAGCATTTGTGTCCATTTTTGTGTAAACTGACTATTTTTGATACTTTAATAAAACTTGGTTAAAATAAAACTGTGATTTTCACCACCACAACACAAGGTCCGAGAAAATTTTGCTTTTGATTTGGTGACTTTGGCGCCAAAACTTTTTTTTTAGGTTATCGTAAACGTAACGCTAGTCGTCTTCTTCTTTTGACAAGTCTGAAGTGCGTTCGAAAAAAGGTTAAATTTTACCCAAGGGTGAGAGTGGGTATAAGATCACGTGGTTAGAAGAGTACTTTTTGAGCCGCTTTCGGATGCTACCCTTTGAGCGCTCCCAACTTATTCCAAAGTACTCCGGCAGCATTTCGACCCGTTTGGGTGAACAGAGTTTGACGCTCTCGAGCTGCTCAGTGCTCTCACTTTGTCGCCTCATAGTCATAAGCCTAGTACTCATAACTGCGGAATTCGCTTTTTTTTTGACATTGCTTCGACAATTTGACGTTTATTCACGCATAAAACGTCAAATTGTCGAAGTAATGTCAAAAAAGTGCGAATTTCGCAGTTATGAGTACAAGGCTTTAGCCGAAGCAGCTACCATTTCATGGTTGCGTAAACTGTGGTTGCGTCACGCTCCGGGCAGTACGGTTTTAAGCGTTTGGGTGCAAAACGCATGAAGTGTTCTAGGTGTGTTTTCGAACGCCTAGTGTAATATCAAGTTTGTTTGTTTGTGTCGCACGCAGTGATGTGCCTGTAGACAATGGCCGTTTTCGATTCGCAGCCCGGTTCGGCCTTGGTTGGTTCGGATTTAACAAAAGTTGGTTGACAGCTTTTGAATTTTTTCTGTCAAGAAAGATGCCATGTTTTAAGGTTATGAAAGCAAGCCAAAATTCAAACCAAAATTCGAACCAACTCGCGAAGCTGGTTCGAATTTAGACGGACCAAGGGATGCCTGTCACGTCACCGGTTTGCAATCGAAAACGGTTGGTTCTAATTTGGTTCGCCTTGAAGACGGACCAAAGCGAATCGAAAACAGCCATAGTCAACGTAAACAATTGATTGTCTACGTGTAGACAATTCGAATTGTTTACGTGGGCATTTGTCTACACTCTACATGTGACGTAAACAATAAACTTATTTTAGAAAGTTTTAAAAAAAGTTCCAAAATTACTAATACCTAAGTAGCTTATACCTATCACTTTGATATCAGCATTCACTGATTATAAATATGAGGAAAACCGATAATAAATTAAAAATAATTTTCGAAAAGGAAAGTGTGAGGTTAGAATTAAACGCCATTTATATTATTTTACATTGTTGACACGTTGTCTACATTGTCTACACGTAAAGTAGACAATGAAAGTCTACGTGTAGAAGCACATCCCTGGTCGCACGTCGTCATTGGTTCAGGTATGACGTACACCCCTTTTCTGACGCTGACGCTGACGTCAGGTAACGGGTGTACGTCATACCTGAACCAATGACGACGTTTACGTTGTCAGTTTTGCGTCGCGTACTATCCTAACAAACCGTACCTTAACTTGAACCGTTGATTCTTGAACTGAGCGGCAAAGCGCAAGATATTTCAGGTTTGTGGCGTCACCAGTTCAACTGATAACTGGTTTAGGGCGGGTATTATAAAACTGCTTTGACAGTTAACTTGAAGTTAACTTTTTGAATTACATGTAATTCCACAAGTTAACTTTAAGTTAACTCTCAAAGTAGTTTTATAATACCCGCCCTTAAGCCTAGTACTCATAATTGCGAAATTCGCATTTTTTTGACATTGCGTTGACAATTTGACGTTTAATGCGTGTATCAAACGTCAAATTGTCGATGCAATGTCAAAAAAATGCGAATTTCGCAGTTATGAGTACTAGGCTTTAGAACAATAAATATTCTGACACAAACGATGTCGAAATCGAATTTGTTCTATCTGGGACTTTATTCTCGAAGCTGAGGAACAGCGTTCTCATGAGATCGATTGCTCTGTCACTGTCAGTGTTATGGAAATATGCATAAGGACGACGAAGACAAAACCTTCGTTCTCATGAGAACGCTGCTCCCCTGTTTCGAGAATAAAGTCCCTGGTAGGATGAGGATAGTGGAGAGGACTCTGGCGTTGCAGGCTGCCAGCCTTTTTTATACAAACGAATAATAGAGAATTTTGCTGATGACTGTGTGTGTCATGATCCTGGGTCCTGTGTAAAATTAAAATTATTTAAATCAAATGGAAAATAATTCTTTAGAGAATCAGAGAATGCGTTAATTCCCATAGATAACAGAAGTAAATACATAAGAAATATAAGGACATATAATTAATTATCTGACGGTGGGGGCAGTTCGGATACTGGAGCTTTGACCTTTGACTAGGGATGGCAAAAATGTTAGAGTAATATAGTGCACTGAGAGTGAAAGCCGAAAACGCCTAGCAATAGAACATAACCTAATATAATAATGTAACCAAAATATATGCTTTTGTAACTCACGTTTAATATTTTATAATAAATTAATGATTAAAGTAATTAGTTAGAAGTTCTCTATCATCAAAGACGTAAATCAACCCCCCAGATACTGTAATAGGTTATGGGCCAAGCAGAGAAGTAGAAGAAACATAAGAAGTTAAGGCTGAAAAAGTAAGCTAATAAATAAAAAAAAAATGAGTAGCTCAGTGGTGAATTTACCACAGTTAACAACTTCTACAAACTTCAACAACTGGAAGTTTAGGGTACATACACTGTTAGATGAACGACAAATATCCGAGGCACTTGAAAAAACCGAAAATGACTACACAGATGACACCAAGAAAAATGAATTCAAGTTGAAAGATGCAAAAGCAAAAAGCATAATTGTACAATGTTTAACAGATAAGCATTTGGATCTAGTAAAAGATGCTAAAACCGCCAAGGAAATGATGGAAGCACTGGAAGGAGTATTTGAAAGAAAAAGTGTATTTACCAAGCTGACTTTAAAGCGAAAGTTACTGACATTAAAGTTAAAAAGAGGTGATAAATTAGAAGATCATTTTCTTATTTTTGATACTCTAATAAGAGACTTGGAAAATGCTGGTTCAGGAAAGATGGAGGAAGAAGATAAGGTATGCCATCTGTTGCTTTCGTTGAATGAAGATTACCAACCTGTAATAACTGCAATTGAGACAATGAACACTGCCATAAAAATGGATTTTGTAAAGGCTAGATTGCTGGATGAAGAAATAAAATTTAAGAATAAACACAGCCAAAGCAATAGCAATACTGAAATGTCGTTTGCATGTTATAAATGTGGCAGACAAGGGCATAAGTTTTTTGAGTGCAGACAGGGCAATACATTAAGAGAAAACTTCAGAGGTCGTAGAGGTTACAACAGAGGCTATTCACAGAATAACCGAGCGCAGTTACGAGGTCAAGGTTACAAACAGAACGAAAACAGAGGTGGAAACAGTCATGTTGCAGACAAGACAGAAGAAATAGCATTCATTGTGTTGCATAGCATCACAGAAAATCGGACAAGAAGTATAAAAGATTTTATTTTGGACTCAGGGTGTACACAGCACATGGTTATGGGTGAAATGGAAATGTATATGTCAAATGTCAAGAAAATACCAACCGTGAAGATCGGCACAGCAAAGAATAATGAAGTTTTGTATGGATACAAGCAAGGTAAATTAAGAGGGGTTTGTCAAGGAAAAGAAATAACCATCGAAGCATTGATTATTGAAGGTATGACACATAATTTATTATCTGTGAGCATGTTACTTGAGAAAGATTTTGAAGTTAGTTTTTGTAGCGAGTCAAGGTCAGGAATAAAAAAGGCAATTTTATCTAAAAATAATTTAAATTTTTACTGCAAGGCACACAATGATTTGTTTGTTCTAACCATAGATTTCAAGACTCAAAATTGTAATTATACTATAGGAGAGAAAAGTGTAGAGCAAAATGTAGATAAAAATATTTGGCATAGAAGGTTAGGGCATATAAATAGGCATAATCTAAGTAAGTTAGGCTTGCCATACAGTTCAGAGATTTGCAGTACATGTGTAGAGGGCAAAGGCACTAGAAAACCTTTTTATAGAAAAGAAAAGACGACAGCTAGGATTGGTGAGTTGATACATTCGGACATTGCAGGTCCAGTACAAACGCCAACGCCTGAAGGGCATAGATACTTTCAAGTTTTGCTTGATGATTATTCTCATTTTTTGGTCATTAAACTTTTGAAAAATAAAAGCGAAGGGGAACAAAACTTGATTGACTTTATAAAATTAATAAAAACACAACATGGGTTAAAAACGAAAAGAATAAGGGTAGATAATGGTGGGGAATTTACGTCGAATTTATTTAAAAATTTTTGCAGATTAAAAGGGATTGAGCTGGAATATACAATGTCATATACACCGCAAGAGAACGGCGCATCGGAGCGTATGAATAGAACATTATTGGACAAAGTAAGAACAAAATTTGTTGAAACGAACTTACCTAGAGAGTTATGGGGTGAAGCCATTCAGTGTTCTGCTTATGAGCTTAACCGGTCTCCGACAGAGACAAATAACGGAGAAACTCCAGCTACAAGATGGTATGGTAAGAATGATATATCTAAATTGAGAGTTTTTGGAAGCCAAGCGTGGGCAGTAATCTTACCAAGGCAGAGTAAACTAGAAAGAAGGACACAACCATGTATACATGTAGGATATACTGGATCGGGTTACAGACTATGGAATTATGAAGAAAATGATATTTTTTGTTCAAGAGACGTGAGATTTGATGAGAAGACAATCAACTATGACAAAATAAAGAAAAATCAGAAGCCAGAAAAGTTCAGGCAAGTAATAGAAGAGATTGAAAGTGAACATAACTTAAAAGGAGGAATAAATGAAATTGAAATTGAAATACAAGAGCAAAATATAACAGAAGATGAGTCAAATGAAGATACAGAGAGTTCAAGCTCAGAAAGTTTTGAAGAATGTTTACCAAGAACAGAGACAACAGCCAAAGGTAGAAAAATCACTCAACCAAGACATTTAACCGAATATGAGATTTATACAGCATATTGCTTAATATCAGCAAGTGAAGAAGATCCAATTAAATATGAAGAAGCAATAAAGAGCAAAGAATGGAAAGTAGCTATTGAAAAAGAGCTAAATTCACATGAAAAACTGAAAACAT